CACTCTCAGGGACATGCAGAGAGCACAAGAGTGGCTCCCTCCAGAGCGACTCCAGGCTGATGCAGAACTACAGGAATGTGTAGGTTGCAGGCAGGTCCCGCTCTAGTTGCTTCTGAGAAGCTGACTAGTAACTCCTTCCTCCCAGGAGAGAACTGTGAGAAATCCCTAAGGTGGCAGAAATGGGTTCGTTTTTGTTTGTTGTTGTTTTTCTTTGTTTTTGAGCTGCTTCATGTGTTGAGGTCTGGAGGGAGCTGGGGAGGGGACAGGAAGCAGCCAGATGGAACAATGAGGAGAGATGCTAGAGGCCTGCTTTTGCTTCTCTCCCACCCTGGTGTGGGCACACAAGTCCTATCCCCACTGGGAAGCCTTGGTGGTCAAGTGTCCTCAGGAGTAAGAGAAGAACACTGGGCTTGCGAGGAGCTGAGAAAACAGGTGGATATCCTAAGTCATCGGGCAGGTCCAGATTGTTCCCCTGTTCCCAGCCAAAGGCAAAGTACAGTCCATGCCTCCCACATTCGCACACATGCACTTCACCCTGAGAACCAATGAGGCTTTTGGCATGTGAACTGAATATGTTGTGTGGAACAAGTAACTGGATGTAGCTGCTCTTATAATCATGGGAAGGGGCCAAGAATGCTTGGCAGGCTAGTCCAGAATGGTAAGACTATGCGTGATTCCTGAAATGCTGAGCATCCTGGGCTGGGCAACACAGCTGTTCCTTTGGCCTGCCAGGTTCTGAGGGCAAGTGGCAGTGGCCTCATGGGACTGAGAAAGGTCCCTACTCCCTGGAGAAGGGAAGTCTTTCCCAGCTCCTCTAATTAAAAGTGACATCCTGCACAAATGCTTGTCGACCCAGAAAATGTGTGCCCATGCCCAACTACAGCCCAAATTACCCTGGTCAGTGTCATGCTGAAAAGAAAAACAGAGCACTCTTACCAAGGTGTCAGGAAGCACCACCACAGGGCAACAGGAGGACTGGAGCAGCCGGCCCATCTTCCAGATAAACAGTGGCACCACCACCAGGATCAGCATGAAACCAACAAACATAAACAGGGCCAGCACCAGGGGGAGGGTCTCTCCTGGCAATGAAAAGATAAGAACAGGCTTAGGAGACATGGTGAAGATGAAATCTCCAGTCCTGGGCCTCCCTCACTTTCCTGGAGTTAGCTCTGTACACTGGCCAAGATATCCTGAGATTTGATGGATGCCCTAGTGACTAAAATTACCACCATTAAAAACATTTTATTCTAGAATCCAGATTAAGGCTTGGTTTCCAGAAAGCCCCAGGGAAGATTAAAATCTTTTTCTTAGGAAGGGAAAGGGAGGAGCATTAACAGTTAAGCCACTAGCTGTGTTAGCACGTACCTTGGCGCCACTGCCAGGAGGAAGGCAGAGTGCCAGGCTCCGGGCCGGATAAGGGGGAGGTGCCAAAAGAGAACAGCACAGAAGGGAGCTGGGCGGTAACTGAAAACAAAGTGTGTTTCACAATTTGCTCTTGGCATAGATTCATATTATGTAGGAAAATACTGAGTTCAGAAAACAGTCACACAATAACTGATATATCATGGCCTTATTATGTATGGTTAAGTGACTTACCCCCTGTCACACAGGTAGGGCTGGCTCCAAAGCCTGTGGTCATTCTACTAAGTAAATGGATCAGGAAGTACCAAGTGGGAGCATCTGAAGACACAGAAGGGATGGGTTATTTTCCCATCACTCTGTTCTATATACCTCGAGCAACTCATTTAGCCCCGCTAGCTGGACCCCCAGTGTAAAGGGTGGAACAGCCAGTGAGGCTGCAGAGAAGCTGGTGGTCTTACATATGTGTCTGGGGACACTGTACTTTGTTTCTATGCTTTTGGAAAATATTTTGGCAATATATACAAATGTTCATACTCTTTCATCTACTCCTGTGAGTGGATTCCAAAAAAAAATAATTTTAAGAAAGGAAACAATCATATGCGTAAAGCAGTTTCATAGCAATATCTGGACTAGAGCAACAGCCTATGCACAACCAGTCTCTCTCTCTGCTCAAAGTAGACTATCTACACCTCCCACCACCTCCAGGCGTGCCCTGTGCATTTTCTTCATAGCACGTACCACAAGGGAAACTATCTCATTTGTTTGTCTGTAGCCTGTCTCTCCAACTAGAAAGTAAGCTTCATGAGAGCAGGGACTTCCCTGCTGTATCCCAGGGACTAGGCCAGCACTTGGCACATAGTCAATGCCCAATAAATACTCACTGAGTGAATGAATGAATCCGTCATTGAACATCATTTTCAAAAGCAAATGGAAATGACTTAACACATGGAAATAACCTAACCCTTCCTCCACAAATAGGGGAAGATTTAATATACTATGGAACATCAGCATGGTAGGTTAGGAATTCAGCTATTAAAATGAGAATTAGGATATATACAAGCTTGTTCACTACAGCATGGTTTGTAGTGGCAAAAGACTGGAAAACACAAAATATACCTATTAATAGGGGACGGTTACACATATTTTGGCACATCCATATATTGGCTTTTTGTGCATCTTCTTTAAAAATGAGGTAAAAATGATGTAGATCCAGATCTGTATTTGCAGCCACTCCCCAGCACTAGCATCACCGCCTCAGCTCCACCTCAGATCATCAGGCATTAGATTCTTATAGGAGCACCAGTCCCTGGTTCTAAAAGTTTGGGGACCATTGGCTGAAAAATCTGAGAGACTGGGCAAAATGGCATAGATGATAGAAACTTTGTTCATCTGCTCTTGAAAACACAACAAAAGTATGACAAAAACAGAGCACACAGCAAGCAGAGTCATCTGGCATCTAGATGAACAGAAGCTCTACAACTAGGGAGAGAAAGGAGAAATCACCCTGCAATGGCAGAAGGTAGAAGGGCACGAAGATGCAAGGCTGCCCAACCCCAGCAGCTGAGTGAAACAGAGGCTTTAACAGAGCAGCCAGCACCTGCAGATCCTCTTAAAGGGGCCGTGACAGCAACTGGACTTTCTCGCAGAGACGGACTCACTTGCTCTGAGCTCAAGCGCTGGGTCGGGTGCTCTAGGGGGCATCAGGGACTTACAGGAGGACAGTGAGTTGTTGGAGTGAGGACAAGAGGTGAGTCTTTCTCCTGAGCAGAAGTGCTAGTGGTACCCATTGTTCCTCTGTTGAACCCTCTCTCCTCTCAGTGTGGGGACTCAGTGCCACCACAGTTGAGACATCATCAGACTAGATAACAGAGATCGCTCTACCCAGAGGATTCCCTGAAACTCTTCTTCCCCCAACTCATGGCCCCACCCAAGCCACATCCAGATGAATTCTCAGCAAGTCCTGTGCCCTTTGCTGAGTAGCTCCAAGACCCACACTGGTGGCAGCTGATCTCGGTTTCTGGCATGGCTTCTTGAGACAACTATAAGCACAGCTTCTGTGGATTGCTTGCTAAATCTTAACAGGTAGCCCTAGAGAGGTACAGGCTAGGGCTGAATTGGCCTGCAGCTGAACCCCTCTCAACTGTGCCACTGGACACCTACTACACGAAGCCACACTAATAAGACTGGGAGACTTAGAAGCTTTGCTTAGTACATAGAAATAGACACAGAAAGGCAGCCAAAATGGGAAGACGAAGATGCAGAAACCATATGAGAGAACAGAACAGAGATCCAGAAATAATGGAGTCAAGCAATCTATCAGATGCAGAGTTCAAAACACTGGTTATAAAGATGCCAAATGACCTTAGGGGAAGTGTAGAAGAATTCAGTGAGAACTTTAACAAAGAGATTAAAAAAAAAAACATTAAAATGGAAATGGAAATTATAAAAGGGAACCAGTCAGAAATGAAGAATACATTGTCTGAGATGAAGAGTATATTAGAGAGAATCAACAAAGTGAATGAAGAGGATCGAACCACCAAGATAGAGGATAGGGAAGCCAAGGACACTCAATCAGAACGGCAAGAAAAAAGAAGCCAAGATTATAATAATAATTTAAGGAGGCTATGGGACAAAATTAAATGTAAAAACATCTAAGTCATAGGGGTACCTGAAGGAGAAGAGGGAGAACAAGAAGTTGAAAACCTATTTGAAGAAATAATGATGGAAACCTTCTCTAACCTGGTGACGGAAATAGACATACAACCCTAAGAAGCTCAGAGTCCCCAAAAAGAGGAACCCAAAGAGGACCACACCAAGACACATTATAATTAAAATGCCAAAGGTTAAAAGCAAAGAGAGAATCTCAAAAGCAGCAAGAGAAAAGCAATTAGTTACCTACAAAGGAGCACTCATAAGAATGGCAGCTGATTTCTCAAAAGAAACTTTGCAGGCTAAAAGGGATTGGCACAAAATATTCAACATGATGAAAACCCAGGATCTACAACCAAGAATACTTTATCCAGCAAAGCTATCATTTAGAGTCAAAGGACAGATAAAGAGCTTCCCGGGCAAAAATAAAGTAATTCATCAACACCAAGCCAGTATTACAGGAAATGTTGGAGGGACTTCTTTAAGAAGAAAAAGACATATATCAAAAACATGAATAAAGATTGGTAATAACTACATACCTATCAACAGTTACCTCAAATGAGAAACACGTATGTGCTCCAACAAAAATATAGGATGGCTGAATGGATAAGGAAACAAGATCCCTACATATGCTGCCTACAAGAGACTCACTCCAGATTAGACGACACACAGATTATAAGGAAGGGGATGGAAAAAGATATTGCCTTGATGGACCTAGAGGGTACTGAAGTAAATAGATAAAGACAAATACCACATGATTTCATATGCATGTAGAATCTAAAGAACAAAATAAACCATAGCAATGACAAAAAAAAAAAAAGTGGAAACAAACTCATAGATACAGAGAATATTTTGAGGGCTACTAGATGGGAACAGGGAAAAAGGGTGAAGGGATTAAGAAGTACAAATAGATAGTCACAAAATGGTCATGGATATATAAAGTATAGCATAAGGAAAATAATCAGCAATGTTGTAATAAATATGTAAGGGGGAAGAGGGTACTAGATTTAGCGGGGTGATCACCTTGTGAGTTAACAGATCTCTAATCACTATGCCGTACAACTGAAACTAATATATTATTGTATGCGAATTATAATTGAAAAAAACTCATTGAATTGTACAATGTAAATACGAGCAACTAATTGTCTATTATATTTCAATAAAGCTGGGGGGAAAATGAGGTAGATCCATGTGTAATGACATGACGTTCACAATACACTACTAACTGAAGACAAGCAAGCTACAGAACAGTCAGCACAGTACAGTCCTATTTGTGCCTATGAGCATTAGTATCACACAATCACTGGAAGATTAAATGCCAAACTTGCCAAAATAAATTCCTGAGTGGAAAACATGTACATTTTACTTTACATACTTCTGTTTTGTTTGAATTTTTTAAAAAGCTTGACCTATATAGTTTTAAAAACTAGTATAAAATGGTAATCAGAAAATTTACATGGGAATGTTATGGATATTTGTGAAGAAACAGGTGCAAAGCAAATGTGCAATATGACTGCATGTGTCTACACAAGGCATTGATGAAAGGATAATACCGCTTCGGAGGGCAATTTGGGAACAGCGGTCAAAATTTAAATGCATATACCTCTTCGACCAGGCAACTCTACTTCCAGGAATTTAACTTTCAAATATACCAGCAAAACGATCTATGTACAAAGTAATTATTAAAGCATTGTCTGTGATAGCAAAATACTGGGGAAAAAACTAAATGCCCATAAATAGGTGGCTAGTTAAATTAGCTATATATGCACGCAATGGCATACTATGTGTAGCCCTAAAGAAGGATGAGGAAGTTCTTTATAGATATGGAAAAATCTACAAGATATATAAAGGAAAAAAAGACAAGATTCAGAATAGTGCATAGAGTATGCTAACATTTGTGCTAAAAAGAAGGGAAATATATAGAAGTATACTGATTTACTTGTACATGCATTTAAAAGTCTTTAGAAGAATATACAAGAAGCTAGTACCTGGGGGAGGGGGTGGGGTGGGAAAGAATGGTAAAGAGGAGTAGGAAGGAGAGTTTCTATGTATATCATCATATTTTTTTAACCTTATGAACGTACTAAATATTCAAAATAATAATTACTTTTTTTAAAGGGTAAAAATTTATACACAAAAATGTCACTAGTGGTATGTTTGTGTGGCAGAATGGTGGGGTGTGTGGTTTTGTTTGGTTTTGTTTCTTTTCAAAGGGTTTTTAAACATTGTGGGTTTTTAGACCATAAAAAATGCAAAGGGAAAAATTAAGTCAAACAAGAGTCTATAGACTTCCCGTACGGTCCCTTCTAGCTAAAAGCAGCTATGATATATAATGGGCTGCCTCCTCATAAGGCCTGACTCTCAAGTTTCTGGCTGCCTCTCCTGCGCCCCGCCTCTGATTCACAGGCAGTTCTCCCTGGGTTCCTGTGGTATTTTGCTATCACAGACAATGCTTTAATAATTACTTTGTACATAGATCTGTACAAACCAGCCTTGCAACATATTGTCCCAGGGCTAGGGAGCTTTCAGGGAGAAAGTATTCCAAATAGCTGCTCAGAGGACCCCCATCCAGCCCCAGGGTGGACTCCTGCCTCTAGGGGAATTAGAGCGAAGCACACTTTCACCACAGGAACCCACCCACCCTGGGAAGAAGATCAGTGAGACCAAGGGGAGACTCAGAACCAAAGGACCCAACAGGCAGGCAAGTGTCCACTAGAGGGGCTGTCACCTGTGCAGGACTGCAGGGAATAGACAGGCCACCCTTACCTTGCACCTTGACACATTCTGCCTGGCTGAAGGCACTCTGCCTCCCAATGGCCTTCACGAATGTCTGGGCCTTTATACAGTAAGTAGCCCCCGGTTCCATGGTTTCCAAGTGCACTGGAATACCCCCGCTCCTCACCATTTTGACATGTTCCTTTAAGAGACAAGAAAACAGTTATGTACTGAGGGAAGCAAGACAGGAAAGGGAGAGAAGAGCCAGGGAAGGAAAGCTGTAGATACTTTCTTTCTGGGTTGTATACAGAATGTTTTCTTTCATTCCTTCCTTCCTTCATTCATTCATATTTGCTTATTTGTTAAACACCTTCTATGTGCCAAGCAGTGTTGTAAGCACTGGGACATAGCATTTAACAAAAAAAGTCCCTGCTCTCATGGAGCTTATGTGGGGGAAGAGAGACATATATTTGTCGGGTGGTGATAAGAAAAATAAAGCAGGGCAAGAAGGTAGAGTGATGAAGAAGCACTAAACAGAATGGTTAGGGAAGACCTCTCTGATAAGATAACATGTGGGCAGAGACCTGAAGGTCAAAAATATGACTGAGCCAGGGCCCTGGCATGGCCACTGCTGCCAGAGGGGATCAGTGCACAGAAGCAATGGAACTGGTGGGCAATGCCTCCTCATACATCCACCCATCCACCCATCCACCCCTCTATTTATCCATCTATACATCCCTCCCCTTCCACCCACTCCATGAGGCCTGTGCTCCACATCTGAACCAGTGGATGCTTGTCTGGGCAAAGCCCAGATGACTCAGGGACATGCTCCTCTCTCAGCACTGGCCCTCCCAGTTTCCACGGGTGGGGAGTGGGCTCCGTCCCAAAGAATCTGAGGTAGCTGCATGCTCCCTCTTGCCCAGGCTCTGATCTGTCCCCCACACCACTCCATCTGCCTGGCTGACAATGCCATATCTTATCACTGGGCCCTGATCCAGCAGAAGTAAATATTGGAAACCATTGTTAATGGCTGTCTACATATGCATATTGCCTCTCAGGGGAAGCTATCCAACCTACAGCCCCTGTTGAGTGGGTGCTGGGGCACATGCCCTGCCCCCTAAGATACCACTATGAGGTCAGGGGTACCTGGCCTGAGAAAGTCTATCAGAGCCAGCCAGCAGCCTATGACCCCTAAGTTTGGCCTGATAATATAAGCAGGACCAATCAAATTTCCTCTCCTAGGAATTAGTCTTGGGAAACTGAATATATCTGGAGCTAGAAGCAAGGGCAAAGGGGAGAGGCTGCAGTGAGGGGGAATCAGGCCAGAGAGGTCTTGAGGGGCTAGTGAAGCATAGCCACAGGAATGTGTAGGAAGGAGTGATAAGGAATCAAGGCCTGGGTAAGCTCAGAGAAGGCCGCACAAAGAGTACAATGGAGAGGACCCATTAGAAGACTCCACAGGTGAGGGTTCCTGGATAAGGGAGTCTGGGCCAGCTCTGTTCAGAGATTCTGTGAGAGGCCCTTATTGCATCATAGTAACCCTTATGATCAAGTCTATTTTTGTTTGTATTGGCTGGAGTGGGCCTTGTCACCACATCAGCTTGGACAGGGCTTCCATAGGTTTGACTGTCTCCTGGTTTCTGCTCAAGTTCCACCCCTTCTGCTGCTGTGGCTGCTGCCATTTGACCATTCCCTCTGGGAGAGCTGACCTCACATTCATTCCAGCCTGCAGCAGCCATCTCACAGGGAGGGGTAGCACCCCATCTAGGCATCTGGGTGACCCACCAGCTCATAATTAGACAGGTTTATCCATAAGCCAGCTGCTGGCTCTCTGCCCCAACTTCTGTACCCTGCCCAGATACACACCCTCGAAAGGCTTGTGCCAGCTTCATACGCTTTTGAAATCATGCAGTTGATCTGGAACACACTGGTGTCTGCTGCCCCTAAACATGCCAGAGAGAATGACTGCGAAAGACAAGCCAACAAGGGAGAAGAAATGCTTGAAAAGGTATTGTGCATCCAACTATGTTAGAGTTTAGAGCAAGGAGGCAGTCTCCCTACTTTAGCAAATCTGGCCTGAGAAGGATCCCCACCAAGGCCTGGGTTGGACCAAGGCAGTCCTTGAAGAGGAGGCTACTGGGATTGTCAGCCTACTCACATCTTTCCTTTCCCACACTTCACTCAGGCCTTCTTATCCTTGGGCCACCTCAGACAGTGAACACTGCAGGGTCTGGCCTTTCACACTCACCTCTCAGAGGTCTGTGACTCTTTCCTCAAAGCCTGACTCAAAGGCCAAGGTCAGAAATCTCACCTTGGCACCAGGTTCCCTTTTCCAGTAGGCAACGAGGAACTCAAACTGGGGCCCCAGATCTTCCAGGTTAATAACCAGGTGGAAGCCATCCTTGGTAATTTCCATTTCAGGTGGAGTTAGGATAGCTGTTGGCGAGATAGGAGGAGAATCAAAGCCAGCCCTAGATAGGACTGATTTCTGTCCCAGTAGACCATGACCAAGTTATCAGTGGAAACACGCCCAGCTTGGGGGAAGGGAGGGTGTCGAATGTCGCTTCACAGCGTGCAGAAGCATGTGTGCCAATACTCTCCTGTACTCAGCAGGTGCTCAGTAAATACTTTTTGAATAACAAGCAAATGAAAAACAAACAAACAAATGACAAAGACTTATCTACAGTTCATATGGATCAGTGATATGCACTGGCTGCTGCTGACTTTCAAGCATCAGCCAATCAGCAGCCTGTGGATGGGCCGGCCATTCTATACTCGGCCCAAGGATTCTTCATCTCATATCCTTAATGGGGATGTTGGAAAATCAGAAGGCTTTACAAATTTCAATAATCAACTCTACAAATTACAGCATAAGCATAAACATTATCTTTCACATTGCTGGATTCCAAATAGATTGGCCAGCAGCCCCCATGGATACTTTCCCATTAGCAGACCAAGAACAGAAGGGCCCACACAGGCCATCTCTAGTCTCTGGCTAGTGATGATGGATCCATGCTTGCCTCTCAGATCCAGACACTGCAGGACCAGAAGGGCCACCCTTGGTTTGGGAAGTAGAATGGAGTGTGTTCTGGGCTAAATCCTCCTGTACTGGGGTCAGAGGACACTCAAAAGAAAAAGAAAGTCAGTTCCTACAGGGAGTTTTCAGAGAGCAGAGCAATTCCTGGCATTTGAAGAGCTGCCTGGACAGACAACAGGAAGACTTGGGGAATCTTCCAATTGTGCAAAACATCCAGTTCAGAGACTTCATATGAGCACACAGTACCATTAGAACTACCTCTGAAATACCTCCAGAAAGAAGAGAGATGTTTGACTCCTCCAGTTTTAGGTCAAACATGATTAGAATTGGATCCTCCGATCTTCATCTTTATTGAGAATAGAATTCGAAAAAATGACTTAAAGTCATTTCAGTTCAGAGAGTGTTTTGACAGTGTTGGGGCAGGAATCTCTGTACTGTGTATTCTGCAGACTCTTTTAATCTATCCAAAAGAAAGTAAACACTATTC